ATATGTATCTTACAGAACAAATAAATATTTTCTCCGAAATGTTTGTGAAACGAATTTACGCAGCCTTTTTACTATTCGATAATTCGAATAGAAGTTTTTTTACTACTGTTATTCCCCTTCTATATTTGACTGACAGAGACCCGTTTTTTCCGCAGTCGTCTCTAGATAGAAACCGTACATAAAAATCTATTTTCGAAAATGAACTTATTGAAAAACACTGCTTAAACTTCTCGTAAACAACGGCACCAAGAACAATTTATTTAATTATCGGAAGAACATCGCTTATCGGGTAAGTTCGTGTATTTTCTCACTACGGACATTTTATTGCAATTACCTAAAAACAACGGTTCAAAACTGTTTGCTGAATTTAAAACAATACAAACAAGTAAATTGGATTGACTTTACAAAATGAAGCAACAAGAGGTCATTGTTTCACAAGAATTGACTTCGCGTTGGTTCCTTGGAGTATCCAAAGTTGAAAACTTAGATGAGATCGGCTATACCGGGCAACGAATTGCTCTAAAATAAATATAATAAAGTGAAAAAATAATATGTAGGGTTATCTTTAACATCGGTATCCGGAAAAAGACCTAAAACAACTGCTTTTGGCAAATAAGTGAAGAGCAGTAGAAGAAGAAGAATATAAACATGTTTCCGTTGGTTTGACCTTGAAACTTAAGATCGAGGTCATTTCCAAGGTCACCTTTTCCCTCAATCCTGAAAAGTTATTCCGTAGGACAAGTCTGCCGCGTGTACACATGGGCAGCAGGTTAAGCGCTGTTGCCACGTTGTGATGAAACTCCCCAATATTAATACTCGTTGTATTTTGAAAACTGTTAATCTTACGCCCCTGTAATATACAACTTTTTTGTTCATTTATGATTACTCTATCTCATGCTGAAATAATGGCAGTCAAACTTCTTACACCCTCTATACACACAATGTTCTTATCAGCATTTAAAATAACACCAGATCCGACGAAAACTTCATTCTTTCCGCACGTAAGTGTCGCAAACTTGCGTCATTTCTCACATCGACCCATCCCCCGTCGCCGGTGGCATTTTTCACGATTTTAATACCCGTCTACAACTCTCACTCGGCAGCAGATATGAAATTATTCTTCCTAACAATTACCTCCCTCGAATTACATTCAATATTCTTCGGCTATAAATTATTTAAGGCGTTGCGCGGGCGGGGGGTTGGGGGAGTGGGATTGTTTCATTTGTTTTGAAATTTTAATCAGTCCAGGGGGAACGGCGGCCTCCCATCCCGAAATTATTTCGCGATCCGCCGTCCCTGAGCTCCCCGAAGTTTCCCAGCCGTCGGAGTACACCTTTTCACTTAATTTAAATACGCTAAGATAATATTTATTCTGATAAATGTTCGTGGGCATGCAGGAGTGGCCGGATGATATTCGAATAAATTCGCTTTGTTTGCCGACCGCCTCCCAAGCGTATAGAAACCACGGGTTCGAGCTCGTTCGCATCTCTATCAAGGAATAATTAAAATCGTTTTGCGGATTGAAAAACTAGCAGGCGCTGGAAATTCGTTTGGTGGGGTAAGAGAAGGGTGCGTTGAAAATTTAACATTTGTCTGGAAAAGTCTGCTGTAGACAGTGAGCAAACGTAGCATTTTGGTTATAAAAATGATTCTGTTCCTTTCCAAACTGTTCACAGTATTTCGGTCTCTCTTTAGCTTTGAGAATGCTATTTTATCTACCGAGCGATCCAGAATGATTGAAGCTGACCTCACACGTAAATGTTACCAAAGATATTAAAATTTACTTCCATTTGATCAAAATTACTTTCCGTTTTCTTAGATTTCCGATCGACACGATCTGTCAATTCATAACGTCCGTGTTTCCCGTGTGTGCTTGCTGTTGTGTTCCCTGATTGTGTTTTTATTTCAATTTATCGTTATTCTTCTAAATAATTAGTATTTTTCAATGCTAATCATATGCTAACTTTTAGTTTTGTACATAAGTACTCGAACTGTTTTAGGTTAGAAAATGGTCTTTTCGTTATGTAACGAAAGTCGGGACGCGTGGTAATTTATTTGTTAATTCCCGGAACACCAACTTACACAGTAAAATATTTCGGACAACACTAATTATTGAAAAGTTAAGGGTTTTCAAGTAGGTTCAGTGTCGCCATAAAGTCGTTGAGAGACCAATTTGCAAAGCCGTCCTTCGGTGAAGGCCTCATGAAATTTAGCAATGATTTTGAACAAGTCCAGTTAAACCGTCGAGGTCATGTGTTAGGCATCTGATAGCGTCGGTTTAGCCCATGGTGAAGGGTACAATAGATATTTATAATATCGCGCGAAATGCATTCGTAAAGACGTATGAATTCCAAGATATTTAAATAAGTTGATAGAATGTTGTGAGGAAAATAAGAACAGATCAAATAGCTGGTTTTTAGGCGGATTTTCCAAGTTATAAGAATAGATTAAATGAGATTGACTAATCCACTCCGTGTCGCTATACGGAGTCACAAGAGGAAGGTGTAGGGTCACTCCTAAGTCTACATTTTGATAATCTGTAAACCAAGCTACGAACAAATATTCTTTGCAGGTACCACCACGTACACCGGCGATATTATAGACAAAAGCCCAAGAACAAAAACCTTCATCACACACTCTTTCGAACATAATTTCCGTTGGCGGCGTTCGCCCCCGAGGCCCCGGCTGCTCCCGCTAATGTAACTTAATGTAACCATCACCCGAGGAACGCGCGTGAGATATCAGCTAATACACTCAAGTAAACCGCAATTCGCGTCTTGATTTATATAGAGATAAGGCGTCGCCGTTAATAACCTCATTATAATTCGAATAAATCTAATCCTATTCATTCGCTCCCCCCTTAATTGTACTTTAATTTTAATGTGTTTAAGCGTATTAAGCCCCAGACCCTTGCGGCGCGCGGTATACTAATTCGATCAACGTACCGGAATTTACGGCACACGAACCGAAATACAAGCTTCCGCATCGAGAAGAGCGATTTTATCAATAACAATCCTCAGTCGAGGACTTTTTCTCAAAAAAGTAGATTTGTAACTTAAAGACCAACATCGTAAAGGGCCTAAGAGTTCTGATAGTGGGTCAGCCCCCACAGAGCCAAGTCCGAGAACGACAACGGCAATAAAGGTGAATGTATAACTACAATCGTTCCTCAAATTTGCCGACGTTTCGACACCTTCATTGTGTCCTTCCCAAGGCTATTGTCAAGAGTAAATCAGCGGACTCTTTTCGAAAGCCTTCGATAGTCCCCAGATACAGACTTTTCTTCAAGCTTACCATTTGGGAATCGGATTCACTGTTCGTGTCCGATAAGAATTTCTTTCTTTTGTCGTCAGATACGATCTGGTGTACCGCAAGGGTCTGTCCTTGTCCCACTTCTGTTTCATTGTATTCATTGTATATTATATGGAAATGCTATAGTACAGCAGAGTGTTGATGCAGTACTTGGTTAATTCCACGAAAATAAATGTACCATGCTTCACCCCCCCCCCCTATACTAAACAAAAATAGTTTTTTCTAGAAAACAGTTCATTTTATCGATATCAACCAAGAGTACCTTTTTTTTAGTTTAAGGTTCAAGCTATCCAAAAATATTATTTTTGTGTTTTTATCGCACAGGGTCTAAAAAAATTGACATTACTATGCTGTAGCTAGTCTGTCCCTGGCAAACCAAATAAGCCAAATTGTTTTCATGGGTCAATTTTTAAAGTCTTATCTGTTGTCCATCATATTAAAAAATAGTTAAATTACACAAAGTATTTTAAAAGTTATTAAAAAAAATCGATTTTCAGCGGCATTCTTTAGGGTTCGGTAGGGGGGCCCTTTAGGGAAAATTTTTATAGGAACTAGTCATGTTATTTTAACATCCCCTTTATAAATCCGAAAGATAGCCCACTTTGGGACACCCTGTATATTCTATTTTCTTTGTTATTTAAATCCAACATTAGACCTGCATTATCATAATTGTGTTGTTTTTTTTTTTTCATTTCTATAAATCAATAATAATAATAATTTAATATCTTTCTACATATTTATCTACATTCCATTAGCACCTCTAAATCCTCTCTTTGATACGCCATTGCCCTCCGACCCGTCTCCTGTTTGAAATTTTGTGAATTAATGGAAATGCCACCCGCCCGCTTTTTTTGTAATCGAATCATCGGAACATCCGTGAACAATAAATTGTTAATGCGTGTTTACGGTTCCACTATAAACACGATTAATCCACCCAAATACCACCCGAACCGAAAGGAAAGGAGGATACTGGATACAAAATAAGGTCCAGGTGCAACTTGTCCGTAATTGAGAAGATTTAAATAGCCTCCGAGCGCTAGACAAGCGGATCGCGCCCATATGGCGTGTGTTTGGAAACAAATAAATAATGTTTGTCTTGCGTTAATTATATACGGCGAAGTGTTTTGCTTTCCGTGTATTTTTGACCGTCCTTTGTTCCTAATTTAGGCGGAATCCAGTGGATTGGCTTTTGTTTTTGGAACAGAAATTGAAATTGAAGCACAAAAATTTTATGGAAGTAGCTTCTTTTGGCAGAAATAAACAGGATTAGATCAACTTCCACAATATCATTGATAAAAATAACAAATAGAAGAGGCCCTAGTACGGATCCTCGAGGAACTCCGGATATTTGAGTTAAGTTATTAGCTCTACAATGTATCTATTATGCAATAGGAAATAATTTATTTCTTCAAAATACTGCTTAATTATTGAAAATTACGAATGCATACAAATTAAGTATTCTTTAAAAGTTGCGGCGAGAGTACAAATAAATTTCCCGAAAGATCCGCGGTCCCCGGTACTTGCCCGAATCCATCAATCGCCCCTCACTCATAAACCCAAGAATCACTTTATCCCCCTCCTTATTATCTCATCATACTCGCAAAAATACACATTCAATTATTTTTAAGGAGACCCGACGCGCGCGCGCAGTCAGACCCCGGACCTCTTCGACGCGAGTGTCCCTTTATTCCCGCTGTGCAGCCGTCGCGACGAACACGACGCTGCCGCTTATCACCGCACGCGAGATCGCGACGGCGATGAGGTCGTAGATAGGGCGATAGTCCTCGTCGTAAGATCGCCCGCCCGGCACTCTCCAGATTGCTGAACCGACTGCGGACTAGATGGAGACAAATCGCCGTTCGTGACATTTCCCGTCCGTTTTGGTTGTGTAAGTGATGTGAGGTGTACAATATGTGCAAGATGACACTGGTGTGGCTCGTGGAATTGGCAGTGGTGTTGGGGCTCTTGATGGAAGGTATGATCCGGCTCGCCTTCGAACTAGAGTCCCTGTGGAGGCTTTCAGTAAATTTCACCCAAGTTTGAATATTTTTGTCAGCTGATTTTGTCTTGTGTTATTATTTTTTAAAGGCTTATTTTCCATAAAACTAGCAGTGACATGGTAAAGAATCATCTGAAGGTCTCTGAAGGTTTTCTCAATGTGGCTCGACATTTAAATATTTTTGACAGCTTTATAGTTTATTTTTCAAAATTAACATGATAATTACCAAACTTTAGAAAATTTATATCAACTAATTATGCCTGTATTGTGATTTTTCAAAGGTCATTTTCCAAAATTAACACTAAAGTGAAGTATAAAGATTTCTGAAGGTTTTTAATAATTTTACTGAACTTTCGAATATTTATTAAACAAACTTGTTGTATAGACTGTTTTTTTAAACGACTGTATGGTGAAAAGTATGGGCCGCCGTGAAAATTGCCTCCAAATGAGACTACGAATATTTCTGTACGTTTTCAAAAACTTTACTTGGCCTCCGAAAATGTTTACAAGCAATTGTACATCGTTATCGACATATCAGAAACACTTCTATCCAATTCTTGTTTAAATAAGTATAAATATCATATTTCACAATGTTTTGCATTACATATCTATAATAAATTAGGTGATATAGTTCATCCGAGTCTCGGTTCGAAGGTTTTTGATAATTTTCACTGAACTTCCGAAAAGATTATTCAACCGCTAACGAAATTTATTAAGTAGAATAATTTTGTTTCGTTCCAAATTGCGAAATAGACATCGTCTACAGTTACTTTAGTAAAATTTCTATTTGTTTTGTCACACTCGATATGAAATATCGATTCCAGATTATATTTTCATTTCGCCTTGAAAAAAATATACCACACACAATTTTTCACAATGGCTGTTATTACATATCGTGTAGAGTAAACTCTGAGGCTTCTTTTGTATATTTTGATGGAATAAAAAACAGTATTTCATTTTTTGTGCGATTGTATTTTATATCAAAAACAATATCAACTTTCCTAAGTAATAATAAAAACTGAAATTTAACAGAGACCACTGGGAACTGAATATTTTCCCCACCTTAATTATATTATGAAATTTATGTCCCTAGTTTGCATTTTTTGGTATCTTTTAGCAGTAAAACAAGAATTCGTTTGTATTCTGGTCTTATAATAGCCTATCTAATAGTAATTAAAGAATCTACGGTGTTATAAAGAAAATAATACACCAGGTCAACAGATACCGAAGGTATTATTATCCTATAACACCCGTGATACCTTCAAAGTTTACTGTTCTACTAGACTATTATTTAATTTGAAATTTTTTACATAGCTGGTATAACATTTAATCTATACCAACCTGCGCAAACGTAAATGTTTCTCTTGTTGTCAATTATCACATATTTTGAACATTCTGCGCCTACTTAGGAAATAAGATTCCCCATACAATTTTCGTCCCTCGGGATCTAACTTTACAAGAAATATCAATCTAGTAAACTCTGTTCTTACAATTTAATCTGAGAAATATGACAAAATTGTCAGGTGCTAAAGAGACGCGAATGGTTGATACCGCTTTCAACTCGTTAAACAACAATTGCTGTGTACATTCCTATACGAGATGCAATGCTGAGGTTTAGATCTAATTAAATTAGGAACTGATATTCGCTTCGTTTTCGCGGAGATCCAGTTGTTTTGTACCGCTTTAGAACAACTTCGCAATTAGGCAACTGTTTAGGTGAACGGGATGGTTAAGGATCCGTCGATTGTAACATCTATGTTTAGTTAAATGCAATTGGTACGAGTAAAACAACAATTAACAACTGTAAATCTTTATAAAGTATACATTTGTTCACAAAAAAACTTTCACATATAAGATAAACACCTAAATGTCCGGTATAGAAAAATTCACGAACCACTTCTACGAGTATTGGACATAAAAGTAGGGTCCAACCTATACAACGACATTAAAATGACTCCGATCTTACCATCCCTGCGCCCAGCGGTCACCACTGAACCTTTGCTATGCTTTGCAAGCTTGTTCTCCTTATACATTGTTAAATTCTACAAATTTTCCTAACACTACCGATTCCTTAACATTTCTATTGTCAAAAGTTCGAAAATGTTCAAAAGATAAAAAATTTTCGCGAACAAATCAAATTATCACACAAATTTAATAAAAGGAATATGATTGTCCCTCCCTTACTTCCACACAGAAAAATTGCCTTAAGGTTCCGACACCGGTCTTTCGAAAGGGCTACCGAGGTTCAACGTTAGGGGGAGCTAAAATACAATTACCAGTATTGCGTTAGGCGTGGACACTTTTCATTTAATTTCCCTTTATCAGCCTGCGCTTCGGAATAATTTTTACCACAATCCAATCTATTCCGTGTCCGTTTTCCAGACGTGTCGGCCAACGTGAAATCGTAACGAGTAACGTAAATTTATACTCCCCGACCCTCTAGTGCTCCGGATTTCTGGTGTGGAATTTTGCGGGATCACATGCGAAGAACTCATTTGTTCCTATTACGTAGAATAGAAAACGGTAACTTGATATTACTTTTAATATCCTGCCAGCAAATATCTTTAGAGATCGTTATGTCAGAGTATTTTCCGTCCTGATTGCGTACCCTACCACTTTCGTCATGTAACGTCGTATTCTCGTCACTCGACGTCTTTTTTTCGCATTAAACATCAATCGTTAGTATTTTGTCATATATTGTTCACTTAATCTAAAATTATGTTCTCATATAACGGAGTACGTCATATTTTGGTCATGAAACGTCGATTTTCCGTCACCAAACGTCATTTACCAGCTATCTCACCATTAACGTTGTCATATCACGCCATAATCTCGACATAAGATACACTATTACGGTTTTAAAACACCTGTTTTTAAACTACGGAACGAACTACTAAGAAACTTCATGTTCTACACACCCGTTCGTGTATCGCAAGGAAAAATCACCGCGATAAAAGCTGCATACACGTCCCGGGGCATTATAAATTCAGTTTTATAGACAAGGAATATAGTGCTGCCATAAATTTTTTACTCGGCCATAATATAAGAAAAATTACGACCAAAGCTGTGAATATAATAATTCGACCGCGCTTGAGGGATATGCGATCTAGGGGAAATATGGAATGGCGATTGTGAGTTATGTGGGGCATCTGACAGTATTCGTGTTAAGGATAGTCTGGTTTCAGATTTGGCGCAGTTTATCGTCTAGAGTACAGGATATTTCCACATTTCGTAACCTCAAATAGGACGTGAATCAATTTAGATAGATGTGAATAGTCCCCGCAACAGAAGTTGTATTGCCGTCTTTTTACGTCGATTTTTCGTCGTATGACGTCCATTGCTGTTAACCCTTTGTTAGTTTAATACTGTTTTTAGAAATTTTTATTTTAAATTTGACTCAGTTCTAGATATTTTAAAATATAATAATAACAAAATGTCATTTCATTGAGATTTTGAGATTTTTGCTACTTTTTGTTCCTATTACCATACTAATAAACGACTATAGGCTTGTTATAGCTATATTCTACAGTTACAATTGTATTTTCTTCGTACAAGCGACAGTACTATTGTTTTATCACTGTTATATCACTTATCGTCGCCTAAAGTCAAATTTTCGTCATATAACGTCGATTTCTCGTCATATTACGTCACAGGCTGGTCATTTCACGTCTTTTTTTCGTTGGATAAGGTCCGCAGCAAATTTAGAGTACCCGCAACAAATAAGTTAAATAAAAATTAAATTTTTCTATTCTATTCTTCATTTTTTTCGCTTTCCTAATAACAAACTAACATTTACGATACAATACACGACCATATCCCTTCATTTGCCAGCTAACGAGTCAGAAATACATAAACTTTATTCCGGAAGTTTCCGGGCAAGTTGGAAATATCGAAAAACTTCTGATTGATGCGCGCCGCGACGGGACCAATTTACAAAGCGCAACATTAAATATCGCCTCCATATCCTTGCCGAAGGACCAATCTAAGTCAGACATCTAGGCTGCAAGCAAATGATCGATCGTCGGGCCGCATTAAAAATGACCGTAGTGATAAGGCCGGACTGGCGGAACATGTCCGGAATAACAGCCGGATTCACCGGAGCGATTGGGCTGATAACGGATTGATGAAACAAAAACCTCCGATGTTTCGGTTGAATTTCGAGCGGGTTACTAGCCGGCCGGAATAAACGCTGATGATAAAATAAAATGCCATTTGCGTTGTTAAAGCAAAAGTGTTTATATTTTTTAAATTCTTTTTACGGCTGCGTGTACAGCCGTGAACAATAAAATGTTTCTTAAACAGTTTTTGTCCGTAGATATTTTCTTCTTCTTCTTCTTCTTTCAAAATTTCGACGGTATCTTCATTGTATTGGAAATTTATCAGGGAATTTCGGTAAACAACTACTGATACGCCACGACTAACAAAATTATGTAGCTTATCCTCCCCCTGATATTTCCCGCTGCTTTGTTTGCAGGAACTATCGGCCTTGATTCACCGCTTACCCCTCGAATAAACTTCGAAACCCGCTAAATGCCACATGGCCCCCGGCCAAAATTCAAATTTTACGGATCCGTTTTCAAGCTCGATATCCACGAAGGAGACAGGATGGCCTGAGCGCTCGCTCGACGAAAAATATTGTTGCATTTGCTTAATTGGCCGCGGTGAAATATGTTCGTTGTAACTTGGTAATTGGTTGGCTGCGGGTGTATTTTCGAGGGGATGCGAAAATAAGGACGGAATTCTAATGCAATATGCGAAATTTGGATTTACGAGTTTCGTTCGGTATTTGGACTTTGTCGAAGTAATTTCCGTTAATTGAAGTCGATAAACTGAAATGATTGCTTACCAGAGCAACAGCTGGTGAGCCCATCATTTCTCTTGCTTGTAACAATGGCAACATTTACGATTCAAGAGTATTGCATTCTAAAGAGGACATACACGAATGTACACGTATTAGCAAATGATGTTTTAAGATC